TTTCTAACTCCAGTTTCAGGGGGGTCTGACACACATGGCAAAACACCAAAGAACATAAAATAAAAATAAATAAATTAAAAAAAAGAACCTGCTGTACATGAGTTACCAACAATCATAGAAAGGGTCAAGTCCTTGAACCTTCAAGTTTATTGTACATTTAAAAAAGTTCCAGTCAGTTCAGGAGAGAACTGATTTCACATATGTAACCCATGTGTGTGCACACACACACTAAATAATATTAAAAAAAATAGAAGGTACAAAAGGATAAGCACATCGTCTAGAGAGAGTGTGGTTGCCTAGCATGTGTGAGACTGTGGCTTCCATCTTTAGCACTGTGAGTAGATAAATAAAAACACTTCCTTAGCTTCTTCTCAGAGATAATTCCTGTAACTGACCTTCAAGTTCTAATTGAGGAAACTGAGGCGCAAACAGCTTTATTGACGTGGGCTAATTAGGCAGCTACTAAGTGCTGTGCTCTGAGATTCAGATCTTGGCCTTCTGGTTCCAAGTCTGAGATTTCTGTTCTGTTTCCCAGTGTGAGCTATCCCATGGGACCTCTGCAGCCACTGTGCTCAGAAAACAGTCCAAAATGAGCTAGGTGAGCTAAATCCACCTACCCTTTATTTGCAGGTTGGTCCAAACAACCTGAGGAGCAAGGAAGGAAGTCTGAGGGAAATGCTAGGAGGCTACAGGTTGCTCCAGGACCATGTAAGATGCTACTGCATAATATAAGATCACGTACGAGAAACATACACATGGGACCACGGAAAGAGCCTAGCAAGACAACCAGGCACTCCAGTTAATCCCATGTTTGCACTTGTGCCTCTTCAGTTCCTGCCTCTGCCAGCTATGGAGCATTTAGGCAGGGAAACATGACTGTCCTTCCCTCTCCATTCTTGATGGCCGCAATGGGGGACCTTCTATCTGGCAGCCAGGGGCCCTGAGGGAATCTGAGACTGGGCAAAGGGCCCAGCGTGTCAGTTCCCATCACAGCCACACAGTCCAGCATGAGTCACCACACACTCAGCCAGGTGAGTCATGCAGGCCGGACACTCTGAGGACAAGAGGTGGCTGGGCACAGGATGCTATCAGGGGGCTAGGGAGGAGTAAGGGGGTCCACCTTCTGGCCAGTCATGCAGTGAATGTAGTTTCTACTGTTCATATAGGGCTCTTCTGCTAACAGAACCACCGTTCTACCCTGAACTTTAGCCTCACTCTTTCCTTTCAGAAGTTCACAGCTCTCCTTAGAATATGGGTTCTTTGTCTAAACATAGGCAAGGCGTCTTTATGACCCCATTCCCCCACTGCGCTACTCTGATGGTCAGAGGACGGATGATGCTTCCCTGTCCTGCCCCCTGTATTAGCTAACCAGCAAAACAAAGGTGGGAACAGCTGCCACTTCACCACTGACAAGGAGTCAAAAGGACCCAGTTAGTACACTGTCCGATGACAAGGATGTAAGAAAGCAAAACAGTGACCCAGGCCAAGCTCAGCACAGTGGTCACAGCCAGCCATGGTGTCTTGCACTTGAAGTTCAGTACTAGTAGACCAGTTCAAGGCCAGTCTGGCTACACAGTGAATTCCAGGTCAGCCTGGACTAGAGCGTGACTCTTGTCTTGAAACAAAACTCAAAACAAGGTGGAATGTACGAACTGAGGAGAGGAACTCCAGGAGTTCTAAAGCCGAGTGCTGACTCGGAAGCATTCAGTTTTAATAGTATTTGAACTTCAGATACATGACTGTTTTGTACACTTCACAGTAAAAAAAAATGCTGAAAATAAATAAACTATAGTAAGTTACTTCAGCACTTGTTAGGTGTGTGCTCTAACATGGACTCAAGGAATCTAGCAGACCTTTGGAGGCCCCTATGACATAATGCATGTACATTAATGTGCTATGAAATGTAGGAGGAAAACTTTAGCTTCCCAAGGTGGGTGGTCTCCTGGGGGAGATGATTTAAGAATGGACTTACCCCTCTAATCCCAGTACTTGGGAGGGAGAGAGGTAAGTGAATCTAAATTGAAGGTCAGTCTGGTCTATAGAGTTCCAGAACAGCCAGGGTTACTCAGAGAAACCTTGTCTTGAAAAAACACACACACAAATGAATGAAGGAATAAAAAAGGACTACTTAAGTTTGTGAGGACTTTAAGACTTACTGGACAGAACTATGTATCTCTTTTTAGATATATTGTTATCACTTTTAAATGATTGTAAATTATGTGTGTGGGGGGGTGTGAATGAGTGCAGGCACTCCAAGTGGATGGAGGTGACTGACAGAGCTAGAGTTACAAGAGACTCTGAGCCACCTGACACAGGTGCTGGATCCTCTGCAAAAGGAGGTATGTACCATCAATGTCTGAGTCATCTCTCTAGCGCCCTACTGTGTACATCACAGGAATAGCTTTAGGACCTCGTCCCCGCCCCCGCCCCCCCCCCCCCAAAAAAACCAGAATAGTTGCGGATGAGATAAAGTCAACTCCTCTAGGGGGCTAAAAAGGAGGAAGTGGGTGCCATAATGTGGGTCTCTTCCTCCTCAAACAGCCACTCTAGTTACACCCAGAGTCACTCACCAGCTGTCAGAACCTGGACCTTCCACGGATGTGCAGCCAGGGCTCTCTGGTATGCCCGCCAGAGTGCCATGCCTCCTGCCAAACCAAGAGGAGAAGTCATCCCACTGCCCATCCTCATAGTAAAAACCACGCCTGCCATTTCCTATGCTCACGCTCTTCACTTTGAGAATCTGTAAGTGACAGAGGCCTCACAAAGGCTGCTTACTGGGCAGTGTCCTACCTCAAAACCACTTCAGACAACTGGAGAAGAGGCAGTCGGGTCACTTTAAAATTCCTAGAGGCTGCCTCTGCCACCCCAAACCCGGTACTGAAGCAAGACTGCCTGAGGGCCTGCAGACCTGATCCAGACACTCATGAGGTCAGGTTTAGTCTAGCTTCCATCCAGAATCTAGGTTTCCTCGCCCCACCCCAGGTAAACTTGATAGGTCTCCAAATACAGACTCAGTTGGAACTAAGCCGCATCCTTTCTGAGTGCAACTCCACACCGGAAATAAACCACGATCTGAGTCTGGAAGGTCACATGACTTGTAGGAGTTTCTGGCCCACAGGGCTTCAAAGCACTGATGGCCAAGAATCCTCCACTCACCTGAATGCCAGCAATGCGTGGAAGCTTCTCCCACGTGACTGGAGCTGGCCGAGGGACTTCCGTATTGAGCCCCGCCCCTTCCGTCCGCATGCAGCCTGTCGTTTGGACACTCGCAATCCCGGAGAAATGAAAATGTCTGGGGCCCTTGATACCCATTAAGGTCACCTAGCGGGTAGCCCCCTTCTTGTGGATGGCACCAAGTATCAGTGTGGCGTCTGATCTGTACTTCCGTATACCTCGTCTGGTCCCGGGATCCCAGGCTGTCAGCCTAGAAGTCCCCACTATCCCAGTCTCCCAGAGGTAGCCCGGTCTGGATCCCTTTTTGTTTGGAAACTTGAATGCTGGACTCGAACTTGTTCTATTTTTGTGCTTCATAACAAAATGTTAAGCTTTGTCCTTAAAAGCGTGCACCACCACCGCCCAAAATATCTTTTTCAATATGCAGTCGACTTCTACCGGCATGGGAGAACCCGAGAGTGCCCGTGTTAGCTCTGTAACTGAGGCTGCCCAGTCTTTGTTATGAGAGTTTGTGTTCAGTATTGCCTATCAGTGCTCCTCAAATTCTAGATGTGCAAAAGCGAACCGAATGAAGGGTTTGTTGTTGTTTTGTTTATGGAGTCATACAACTGTTTGAAAACCAGTTTGGGGACCCTTAATTCTTCGTCCTCCTCTAATTTATCCAACCCACTGCCAATTACCTTCCCCAGGTAGGTAAAAATGTATCTACTCCCGTCCTGAGAAAGCTCAACTTTCCGGTTCTGTCTGCCTACACCCAGCTTATGTACTCAATTCCCATGATTACAGGAGGATGAATCCTATTAGCTACTAGAGAATTCGGATTCCTGTGTATAGAATATGCTAAAGGAATTTATATCAGTAGATGTAATAGGTCAAATGTGCAAGGTTGGAAGAGTATTTTTAAGGAAGTGTATGGATTCAAATCTCAGTGCCAGTTTTGGTAGTTATATGACCTTATTTAGATTGCTCAGCCTCTTAGAATCTAATCATTACATAAAATAGTATAAAGCTCATAACGCTCATTAACATATGTAAAGCACACAAAATAGAGCAAATTTATCCGTCCAGCCTTTTCATCTAAAACACATGAAGTCCTGTCCCTGTCCACCATACCCCTCCTTGGAGAAATACAAAAAGGTCCCAAGGGAAATTCGATCTGGTTTTTCTTTTTTTGGAGGGCAGGGGGTGTAGGGTGAGTGGGAACTGAAGCAAGGGCCTTGTACATGCTAAGCACATGCTCTTCCATTGAGCTCTGGGATGGGATCTTGAAGGATGAACAGGATTTAGGTGATGCTGGGAAAAGATAACTGGAGAAGGCAACAAACTAAGTAAGCTGAGGCACAAAAGTAGAAAAGAGCAGGAACCAATGGATTATAAAGTAGATATACAAGGAAGAAAAATGAGGAAAGGCCCATCCATGGGAAAAGAAAAAGAGAGCAGAAAACACTATCCACATTTTCTTCTGAGTTCAACATAAAAAGGCTGACTCGAGGGCTGGAGAGATGGCTCAGAGGTTAAGAGCATTGCCTGCTCTTCTAAAGGTCCTGAGTTCAATTCCCAGCAACCACATGGTGGCTCACAACCATCTGTAATGAGGTCTACTTCCCTCTTCTGGCCTGCACACACACACACACACATAGAATACTGTATACATAATAAATATTAAAAGAAAAAAAGGCTGACTCGATATCAGGAGCAGGGCTGCTGGCACCAGCCTACAACCTCAGTCTTTAGTTCCCAGGCCCCACCTTCTCTACCACTGCAAGTAGGGAAACAAGGATGTGCTTGTGTCAAGGGGATGCTCTGCAGGACAAGCCAAGCTTCTCTGCAATGGAAGGCACTTCTTTATTAGTTCAAAAAGCAAGCCTGATACAGCCTAAGCTGGATCACAACAGACTGGTACAACACTTGGCTCCTTCACACCAACATGGGTTGTGGTCCTTCTGTGGCTTAAGGACCTGAGTTTCCTACAGGCCTGCTTTCTTGTTTGTATAGGAAGGGGACTGAACTACTTGATTCTCTTCTGAAAGATTTTCTGGTATTTGATAAATCTTCTATACTACTCAGGCAGAAGCTGTTCCCAGATATGACAGACCAGACTTGAGTATGCTAAAGTCCAGGTTTGTTTCAGGCAATACTAATCTAGACTGCATCCCTTTCAAGAGGAAGCAGGCGACCTATTTGCTTCCTATTTCCTAGTAAGATGGTCTAACTACTTCCTTCCAAACCTCAGTCTGTACCCCTACGTGTTCCATGGCTGTGACTCAACCATTTCCCATCACTGGGCTGCCTGTGTTTTTGAGGCAGTATCAGTCATATGAGGTGCAGCTATCCACGAGAGGACTCTATCCAGATGACAATACATTATTGGGCTCTAAATACTTTCTATACAGTTTAAACATGTTTAATATGTCAACAGTGTGACCATATCATAAAGATCAAAAATCATGACTTGTAAAAGAATGATTGAAATAACTAAAGATATTTAATCTAGAGAAAAAAAATGACTTGAGAAACACATGATAGCTACTGTTAAGTACTGAAAAGGGCACTCACAGGGAATGACTATATCGCCTAACAACCATTAGTAAAATTAATAGAGGTATACTCTTGACTTGATATAAAGGAAGATTTTTTTTCTTACTTTTTGGTTTTATGAGATAGCCCAGACTGAATGCAAAATTATGATCCTCCTGCCTCAGCCTCCCAAGTGCTGGGATTACAGGTGTGCACCATTATACCCAGCTTCAAAAATTTTAAAAACACTACTATCTAGGAGTGTTCAAGTAGTGTCAAATGACCAATGATTGGGATATTTCATAAGCAGGAGCAACTAAGAGCTGGTCGCTGTCCTACTGATAGGGAGTTTAGGATGTTCCTCAGTTAAAGTATAACGAGCAGCTTCAGTCCAATAAATTACTGTCACCCATTGGGCCTGTGTGTTGGTTATTCTAAAGAGGAAGATTGGAAGGCAATAACATCAAATCCTGGAATTCGACAGGAGCCTTCATGAAGGTCCTTTCCGACTCTCCAAACACCCACTCACAAGTGGTCTCAAAAACACCCAGTACCTTTACTTAGCTTTACCTCCTTCACAATATGCTCAATATGAGCAATTTGACTCCCAAGCCTAGGTCAGGCCTGAGTGTTTCTTGTGAGCCACGGTTTTAGGCATAGGAATTGTTGTGGAGGGGGAGCCCCCCTACCTGCAGGGAGCTGTGACCATAGAAGTCTGTGGAAGGAGAGGGATTTAAGGAGTTCTGGGCAGGTAGGCCTAAAGATCTAGGCCCGGCACCATCACTGTCCAGGAAGGGCCCAGGTCCTATGCTCTGTGCATGGGGGCCATTTGTTCTTGGCAGACTTCAATCCAAGAGTTCTGTGTGGACCAGACTAGGGATTGGGGGGAAGGCAATGACTGGTTGGAGAGAAACCAGGCCCTTCAGTTGAAAAGGAGGTTTGGAACATAGCATTGAAGTGGGCTCGGCTTTCAAGCTGTACACGGTGGGCCAGCGGGGAAGTGAGTCCACGAACAAAATGGATCCGAACCAGCCCTGACTGCCCCCCAGATACCAGCCATCCATAGGAGTCCAGGTTTGGGCTGAAACGTACCTGTCAAGAGAACAGAAAACCAAAAAGAACCTCAGAAGTTGTGTCTTAAGGTGACCCCTAGATGTGTGAGCTTTAAAAACAGGTCACCCCACCTTTAATCCCAGTACCCAAAGGACAGAAGATATATACCTCTATCTCTGTGAGTTTCAGGCCAACCTAGTCTACAAAGTGAGCTCCAGGAGAGCTAGAGCTACGTAGAAAGAACACCCAAAACCAACCAACCAAATAAAAACAAGTCACTATCAGGACTAGACCATGAGATAATCCATGAATGAGCTCTCTGTACCATGACCCGGGTCACCAAGGCTGCTTCTCCTCTAGCCACCTCTGCTGCCTTTTAGTCTCTCACCTTGTGAATAGCTTCAAGTTGCAGCCTATCCAGGCAAAGCTGAGAATGCCCCTCTCCTTCCTGCATGCGCAGCATCGGTTCTCTACGGAGTAGATTGTGGAAGGAACTCTGGGGAACACAAGTGGAATTCCTTAGGATTGCCTGTTATCTAAGGTTTCTATCTTTTCCTTTAAGATTTATTTATTTATTTATTTATTATGTACATGCACCGTGTCCTGCTTGAACGACAGAAGAGGGCACCAGATCTCATTACAGATGGCTGTGAGCCACCATGGAATGCTGGGAATTGAACTCAGGATCTCTGAAAGAGCAGCCAGCGCTCTTAGCCTGAGCCATCTCTCCAGCCAAGTTTCTACCTTTTCTAACGCCACACTGACTTGTAGCCACAGCTTACCAGATCTGTATCCTGAAAGAGTAGGTAGTGGTGATTGATGGTCTCAGTGTACGTTCTTGCTTTGGGAGGATTGGGGGTTTCAGAGGAGGCCGAGGAATCTTGGTCTTCAGGGCTGTCCTGGTATGCTATCAGATCTGCTTTATAGATAGGCTAGGAGAAGACCAAAAATTAGTGTCTTACAATTTTATTTACAACTGCATGCATTCACACATGCCAGTATGAGGAATTCAGGGACTAAATTCAGCACATGGGCTTAGCAGACCATCTCTCTAGCCTTAGATTTCTTTTCTTTTTCTTTTTTTAAGGCAGGGTTTCTCGGTGTAGCCCTGGTTGTCCTTGAACTCTCTGTCGATCAGGCTGGTCTCTGCTTTCTGCGTGGTGGGATTAAAAGCGTGTACCACTACCTGAGATTAGATTTTAAAATACTGAACACAAAAGCAGAAAGTAAACTGGCTTACTGTGGCAAAGTCTCAAAAGTAGTAAGAGTAAAAATACACTTGATGCCAATCTGTGATGGTGCACCCCTTTAATCCCAGGACTTATGAGGTAGAGGCAGACGGATCTCTGTGAGTTTGAGGCCTGGTCTACAAAGTAAGTTTCAGGACAGCTAGGGCTGTCACAGAGAAACCCTGTCTTGAAAACTCAAAAGAAAAAAACAAAACACCAGAGCTAGTGCGGTGGCTTGGGTAAAAGCTCTGGATGCTAGGCCTGGTAACTTGAGTTTAATCTTCAGGATCTAGATGGTGGAGAGAGAGAGAAAAAAGAGAAAGAGAGAGAAAGAAAACCAACCAACCAACCAACCAACCAAATACACATGCTCAGTTCCAACAGGGGAGAGAATATTATACCTAATTCCTTGCCATAAGAAGGACAGTATCAGAGCTTGGAGACCAAGCACTAGTTTGCATTCTACCAAGAGCTGACGAGGCAAGTAGATTATCACCTATAGATTAGATGTTCGTATACTCACAAATCTTCTTTCTGCAGGTTTCTTGACATTAATTGGGTTTGATGCCATGTCAGGTAAAATAGCTGCAATGAGCTCCCCAGATATATCTCCTGCAGCTACTGTCCCGAGCCAGTCTGAACCTGAAAGACTCTAATAGGAAGAGACAAATTTATTTCATCCATCCACTCATTCCTTTACATATGATAGTGACTACACAGCCTGAGGCTGGGGAGAGAGATACGAAGAAACAACTCAAATCCTAATGATGGAATAATCCTATGTCGTTCCTCCTTATGCCCCAACTACTACAGTGAGCAAATGAGCATCTCCTGCATACTAAAGCTTGAAGAAGGAGAAGCTCACCCAGACGGTGCCTTTTCGTGGAGCAGTAAAGTAGGCCTTAAAACCAAGGTAACCAGCATCGATGTAATGAATTCCACAGAGTCCGTAACTAAAAGAGAAAGAGAGAATAAACCATCCTTCTAAGAATAATAAATTCTTTTCCTACAGAATTCAGAACAACCCAACCCTCCTTTCCCATTTCTGCTCCAACCCTTAGAGCCTGTCCCAACTCATAGCTTCATCTTGCCGTACGAGGCATAGCAGTTGTCCTGAGCCACGGTGACACCATTGTAGGGGAGCAGCCAGGAAAGCTCTGTACTCAAGAAGCGCTTGATACAGTTTATTGGTTCATAAGGTCGCCGAAGATCCCAGAATTTGATTTTCCGGTCACTCCCCGCAGAAACCAGGAAATGACTGAAAGACGGGAGAACACATCAGAGCCAATATGGAAAAGGTAGCCTGCTACAGCCTCCCCTTCCACAGCCCTCCTACTCTGTACCTGTTAGCTTTGCACCACTGAATTGTACGAACAGCCTGGTCATGGGCTAGGAAACACTGGAAAGGGTACAGCTTTAAGGAGCCATCAGAGAGACGTATCCGTTGGAGAGGTGAATTAGTGGGAAGATTCCAGAAAACCACCATGCCTAAAGTAGGGATAGAATATGTAGACATTAAAGCAGTGGTTCTCAACCTGCACCTAATTTCAGTTTGAATGTATCTGACGGCTGCTAAATAAGTAAAGAAATTTTTTAAAATTTGAATTATGTGTCTATGTATGGATATGCGCCTATATGAGTGCATGGATGCCAAAAGAGGGCTTTGGATCTCCTAGAGGAGGATTTACAGGGGGCTGTGAGCTGCCTGATGTGAACACAGGAACAGAATTCAAGTCCTCTGCAAGAGCAATACATGCTCTTAACTGCTGAGTCATCTCTTGGGCCTCAAATAAGAGTTTTAAAAAGTGCACATGGCTGACACAGTGGCACATGTTTATAATCTCGGCCTTCGGGCTGAGGCAGGGTGATCTACAAGGGACACACCATGAAACCCTATCTCAACCAAACAAACTAAAAGCCCTTCAGAATAGCAGTTGGCAGACTACAACCAGCAGATCTGACAGATTCAGTTTTGCCTTTTTTATTTGGGTACTAGGAATTAAATGTGCCTCATGCATGCCAAGTGCTTCGTCTCATGGGAATGGAGTTAATTAGTGTCCCACTCTTTGGAGACAGCATCTTAGTGTGCAGCCTCAGCTGGCCTCACACTCACAGCATCCTTTGGTCTCTGCCTCCAATGTAGTTATCAGCCATAATGTCTCGCTTAGGCTGCCTGTTTTGGCAAATTATACTGAAACACTGTCATACCTATTCATTTACGCAATGTCTTGGGTTGATTACATACTCAAATAACAGAATTTAGCACCAACAATGGCAAATTAGCTTAAAAAGTCTAAAATCACTATTATTTTGGCTCATTACAAAAAATTTCTTGACTGGGCGATGGTGGCACACACCTTTAATCCCAACACTCGGGAAGCAGAGGCAGGCAGAGCTCTTGAGGCCATTATGGTCTACAAAACGAGTTCCAGGACAGCCAGGGCTGTTACATGGAGAAATCCTCTCTCCAAAAAACAAAACAAAACAACAAAAATCCCAGAAAATTTCTAATTCTCCTCTACAACAATAAAAGCAACAAAATGCAGAGGAAGAGACAACAAATGTACAGACATAAAACGACTTGACTTAAAACAAGGCTGGCGAGCCAGGCAGTGGTGGCACACACTTTTTTTTTTAATTTTTTCAAAACTTTATTTAATGTGAAGTGGTGTGAGGTATCAAATCCCCTGGGGTTACAGACAGTTGTAAACTCCATGTGGGTGCTGGGAATTGAACCCAGGTCCTCTGGAGGAACAGGCAGTGTCCTTAACCTTTAAGCCATCTCCCCAGGCCCAGGCACACACCTTTAATCCCAGTACTTGGGAGGCAGAGTTGATGGATCTCTGAGTTCAAGGCCAGTCTGGTCTACAAAGTGAGTTCTAGGACAGGCTCCAAAGCTACAGAAAAACCCCGACTCGGGGGGGGGCGGGGGCCCAACAAATGAAACCAAAAACAAACAAAAAAACAAGGCTAGCAAAGAAGAGGTATTCAGAAATTTAGCTCAGATAAAAAGAAAAGATAAAGGACATTAAAAATCTTATATGTATAAGCATAGCAAGTATAGCATTTATGAACATTTTTTAAAAAACAAAACAAATACAGTGAATTTAGATGAGCAATGAAAATAACTCAGCAGCGGAGGCAGGAGACAGCAGAGAGATCTCGGGGACACAATCACTAGATCACGTCAGCTAAAGCAGCTTATCTCACATATGCAAGGGCTGTGTTCAATCCCCAGTACTGGGAGAGGTGTAACAACAGCAATACAGCACGAGCCATTTTCTCGAAATACCATCCGAGAAAAGCAGAAAACAGACAAGAGTGACGTAGGAGGTTTAAAAAAGCATTAATTTCCCTATCTTCCTGAGAGAAAGTATACTGATCTCTGAAAACGAAAACTGTTACTTAAAAGCACTAAAACAGGAGAGATGGCTCAGTAGTAGGGTCGTCTGCTGCCAAACCCGAGTTTGATCCTGGGAATCTACCTACATGGTTGAAAAAAAGAACCAACTTCTATACATTGTTCTCTAACTTCCACACACTGCCCCTCGAGTTAATAAGTATATGTAAAAAATATATAATTAAATTCCTTTAAATTGTACTTATTTGAAGAACTGGGGGATTATATCCAGAATCTAAGATTAGGCACTTGCTATCTTTCTATTTTTGAGATGTGTCTAAAATGCCTGTGCATTCCTTGAGCTTGATCCTCCTACCTGAGGCTCCAAGTAGCTGATTATAGCCTTGTACAGCAGGCCCACCACACACTGGACCCTGAAGCACTACAGTAAGCTGTGACCTGCCTGTAGATGCCAGGAATCGAACCCAGGTTCTCTGGAAGAGCAGTCAATGATCTTAACTGAGCCACTTCTCCAGCCCCTATACCTTTACATTAAACAGCTTACATGTATGATCTTTTTCTATAAGGTTGTCCTTCTTTAAATACCCATGATAAACTCCTGTATTATCAGAGAATTTTTCTCTTTTCTATTTTATAGTGGAAACATTTATGTGAAGTATATTCATTTCAAGCACACGATTCCATGAGTTTGATAGTTACTTGCACCAGGAAAAAAAAAAAAACACAAATAAGAACCCAAATATTCCCATCAATGTCAAAATTTCTTGACTCTTTATGAATGAGGAAAGCAACTATCTGCGTATCACACTAGTGATCAGCAGGCATTGTGGTAACTGTTCTGAGCTGGATCCATGCTATATGTCAGGAGACATCATTTTTTTTAAATTGCTGAGTACTTTATTATATGTACATACCAGTTCTATCCATCTAATTATTTTTCAAATTATATAAATTTGATTTTTATTTGTGTACCACAGCATGTGTATAGAAGATCATCTTGAGGGAGTCAGTTCTCTCCTTTGAATGTGAGAATCCTGGGGATCAAACTCAGATTGTCAGGCTTAGCAGCAATTTTACATTCTGGGCTGTTTATTCAGCTGCCCAGTACTACTCCTCCACCCCTCCCAGAAACAGGGTGTCTCTGTGTAGCTCTGGCTGTCCTGAAACTCGCTCTGTAGACCAGGCTGGCCTCAGACTCACAGAGATCTGCCTGTCTCTGTTTCTGAGTGTCGGGATTAAAGGCATGTGCCACCACCAGCTAGTAATGTCCAGCTTTTCTTAAAACTCTTTAATTGGCCTGGACAGTGGTGTTGCACATCTTTAATCCCAGCACTTGAGAGGCAGAGGCAGATGGATCTCTGTGAGTTCAAGGCCAGCCTGGTCTACAAGAGCTAGTTCCAGGACAGGCTCCAAAGCTACAAAGAAATGCTGTCTCAAAAAAAACCAATCAAACAAACAAACAAAAACTTTAAATTAAAAAAATATATATTTTTTAAAATATGTATGTCATGTGTTCCCTGACAGGCTGGAAGATGTCTGCTGTCCGAGAGCTGAGTTGCAGATGGGTGGGCTGCCCGACACTGGTGCTAAGAACTGAAGATGGGTCCTCTGGAAAAACAACAAGGACTGTTTACAACTGAGCCACCTCTCTAGATCCCCTAATTTGTTCTATTAACTTAAAAAATTATTGTATGTCCTTCTTTTATGTGTGAGTCCAGGCATGTCATAGCTGGTGTGTGCAGGTCAGAGAACAACCTATAGCGGCTGCTTCTCTCCTGTTGTGGGGGTCTCAGGGATCAAACTCAGGTCATCAGGCCTGAGGGCAGATATCTTCACCTAATGAGCCAGCACCTCCATTTAATTCTGAATTGACTTTTAACTAGCAAATATTCAATGTTTTCTCATCATTATAGAGGATGTTCACATCTTTCTTTCTTTTGAGATTAAGGACAAAATAGCCCAGGCTAACCTCAAATAGTTGTGTGTGTGTGTGTGTGTGTGTGTGTGTTTTAAAGACAGGGTCTCTCTGTGTAACCCTGAAAGTCCCAGAACACTAGCTCCAAAGACATGACCCTGAACTCAGAGACCTGTCTGCCTCTGCCCAAGTGCTGGGATTAAAGGTGTGTGCCACCACTACTGGCTCAAACACCTATTTTCTTCAAGACTGACCTCAAACTTCTGCAGTCAATGCTCTACTACTGAGTTATACCCCCAATCTTGAATTTCTGATCATCCTGTCTCCACCTCCCAAGTGTTAAGATTACAGACATGTAACATTGTGCCTAGTTCATGGAGTGTGGGGACTGAAAAAAGAAATGCAAAGTAAGCATTCTACCAACTGAACTATATATATCCCACCCAATAATTTTCTTACTGGAAAAATTATAGTGACATTTCTTCTTTGTGTATATTTTTTACAATGCTTGAATTTGTATAAAGATTTACTCTATTTTATGCCTATGAGTATTTTTGCTTGCATGTCTGTTTGAGCACCACATGCATGCTTAGGGTCCTGAGACCAGAAGGCTTTGGATCCCTTGGAACTGGAGTTATATAGATAGTTGTGAGCTATAGGTAGATGCTAGAAACCAAACCCAGGTCCTCTCCAAGACTAGCAAATGTACATAACTGCTAAGCAATCTCTTCAGCTCTGCTTGAATATTTTATTTTATTTTTTTAAAAACATTTATTTATTATGTACACAGTGTTCAGCCTCCATGTATGCCTGCAGGCCAGAAGAGGGCACCAGATCTCATTACAGATGGTTGTGAGCCACCATGTGGTTGCTGGGAATTGAACTCAGGACCTCTGGAAGAGCAGTCAGTGCTCTTAACCTCTGAGCCATCTCTCCAGCCCTGCTTGAATATTTTAAACTATAATATAATGTTATGTTTAATCAAAAGAGGATACAATCCAAACCCAAGCACATATAAAAAGCTTAAAGAGCAACAGGCCTTGGTTTTTACCATTATAGTATCCTGCAGCCAGGTGGTGGTGGGGCCTGGTAGGCATCCAAGCCAGGCTAAGGCACTGACCACACTCAGAGGGGTCTGAAGCTTGCACAGACCCCACCTGAAGGGTTGCCAAACACTGTACCTGTAAGGACAGAAGAGCTGGGATTAGGGTTAGGAGCTCTTACTGTTTCAAAGGAGACTCTAGTTTTTTTTTCCTCAAGGTTTATTCTATGTTAGGTTTAAGTGGCTTGTGTGTGCGTGCGTGTGTGTGTGTGTGTGTGTGTGAAGGCACGTGTGTACCACATAACTGCTTGGTGGCCACGGAACTGAGAAGGGGCAGGGTCAGATCTCCTGGAACCAGAGTTATGGTTGGTTGCGAGCCTCCATGTAGGTGCTAGGAACCAAACTTCAGTCCTCTGCAAAAGGACGAAGTGTCTCCAGCCCCCTCAAATCAGTTTTTCTTCTTTTTCTTTTCTTTTTTTGCTTTTGATGTAGGGTTTCTCTGTGTAGCCTTAGCTGTCCTGGAACTCACTCTGTAGCTAGGCTGGTCTCCAACTCACAGAAATCCGCCTGCCTCTGCCTCCCAAGTGCTGGGAATAAAGGCCTGCCCCACACCACCCGGCTAAGAAAGGGGATACTTTCAGAAGTGAAAGACTCACTGTAGACTCTGTAAAATAAGGCTCTAGGAAGATGCAGCCTCAGCTAAGTTAACGGGCTCCTCACTCACCTTGTAGATGGCAGGCTTCATAGCATCTGTGAGGAAGAAAAATAAGAATAGTTGATGCTTTGGATCCACAGGACTAGCTCCTCCTCTCTCATGCCTCAGCAACGCCCTTCTTTCATTCTTTCTCTATGTCCACCTGCCCCACTCCTTCCCCAACACTAGCTTCCCTTCTATGAGAAACGCTAACTCCTCCAGATGTTCTTCTCTCCTTTCTGTTTCTAGAACTCCGCTCATTTGCTTAGAACTCTGTTTTCATTATCCACATGTTCTTTCCTTACTGACTTGTTCCTACATTTCTATGTAAATAAGTTCTACTGTCTCTTCTATAAGAGTTATTAAACACATAGAGTCAAGTGCGGTAGTGCAGACCTGTAATCCCAGAACATGAAGTAGAAAAAGAAGGAAAAGAAGTTCAAAGTTATCCTCAGCTACATGGTAAATTCAAGGCCAGTCTGGGCTACATGAGACTCTTATTCAAAATAATCAACTAAAAGAAGCACATCAAACTTCCCTTTGGCCGGGCGGTAGTGGTGCACACCTTTAATCCCAGCACTCGGGAGGCAGAGACAGGTGGATTTTTGTGAGTTTGAGGCCAGCCTGGTCTACAAGAGCAAGTTCCAGGACAGGCTCGAAAGCTACAGGGAAACCCTGTCTCAAAAAACTAAAAAAACAAAACCTCTCTTTGGCCCATATTCACTGAGCGGCTTCCTCATTTATTTGCCTCCTTTTATATCTAAACCTTTTTTTTCTTTATCTTCTTTTTTTTTTATTTATTTATTTTTTCCCAGACAGGTGTCTCTGCAGAGCTCTGGTTGTCCTGGAACTCACTTGAAGTTCAGGCTGGCCATGGACTTACAGAGATCCAAGTACACACCTGTCTCCCAAGTTCCCTATCATCTCCAAACTTTCTAAAGAAATGATCTATGAGACTTGTCCAATCTTTAAGCTGCATACAGCTAAGAATAGCTAAGAATGTGGCTCAACACAAAATGGCAACTTTACTGAACACATTACCAGCTTTTTCATGTTTTGGTAATTCAAGTGTGGAAATGAGCTTTGTAGATGATGTTACATCACAATGTCAAACAACTGGACAGGCCTGATGTTCTATATCTGCCTCAACCTATTTCTCCAACAGACTACCAAACACAAAACATTCAAGGGCTTAAATCCAGATACCTTCCTTTTAAATACTTAAGTATTGCTGGGGAAAAAAATAGGATCTGCCTTTTTTAACTCTTCCTAAAAGATACTGCCTAAACATAGGTGAGGGGAATCCTGAGACCAGCACAAGGGAAAAATGTAGGACAGAGGAGGTGAGTCCTCCTTGTCAGCCTCAACCCTCAGCAACTCTTTATACAGTCAATTTATGAGGGCACAGAAGGGGGAAGTGATTGGTAAATGCTGAAAGGACACAGTTAGCCTGGAAAAGAGAAAAAGCTTAAGCTCAAGAATGAACAACTGCGCCAGATGGTGGTGGCACCTTTAATCCCAGCACTCGGGAAACAGAGGCAGGTGGATCTCTGTGAGTTCAAGGCCAGCCTGGTCTACAGAGCTAGCCCCAAGACAACTAGGGCTATTACACAGAGAAACCTTGTCTCAAGAAACAAACAAACAAAAATAACAACTATAGTCATATTTCCGTCACAGAACTCTGCCTGATCAAGCTTTTATGCTCGAGACTATCTATCTAGGTCACGGGAGGTAGACAGGCTGAGAGTCCGGCCTCCACTACGGTAGTAGTTGTGCTACTTGCCTGGAGGCTGCTGAGCCAGAAGAGCCTCAGGATGCGGCAGACTGAACAGCAGTACCTTCCCATCTGAGCAGGCCAGGGCTAAAAGACCCAGCCGAGGCAGGAGAGGAGCCTAGAGGGGGAGGGAGAACAGATCTGTGCTGAGGTTTGCTGCTTTCAGGTGCCTCTCAGAAAACCTGAGGCTCTGTCTCTCAGAACATGACGTGGGATCTCTGGAAAACCCCCACCCACCACACTCTAATATTCCTTCTCCAGCCCTAAGACCTCCCAGAGCTAGCCCATAGTCAACTAGAAGTACCTTCCGAGGGGTTTCTGGATGTTCCCATGCCCCACTGGGGCAGAATTTGAGGTCCCAGATACATCCACTGTCACAGGCAATCCCATAGACAAAGTGGGCCCTGTTGCCAGGACTGGAGAGAGAAACATGGGACACAGTAGGTAGGAAAAGCCTAGGACTAACAGCTCCATTTCCTCGTCTCGTCTCAGCCCATGCAAGCCCTTTCCCAGCCTTGTTTCTCCCTCACCCACCTGCCTGTGGCAGTGTCCCAGCCCCACCTCACCAGCTTTCTTGCTGCAATGTCCCAAGGCCCCAGAGCTGCAGCAGCCCAGGGCCTGAATGAAGCTGGCTCAGTGGATGTGTCTCATTCATGTCTGGGCTGGAGAAAAGGGCCACATACTGTGAGGCTGCCGACCCTTCAGGCACTGGGCACCAGTCCAGAGCCCAGAGTGGTCCTCCTGTGAAGAAGGACACATCCCAGCGCTCTGGGTGTGCTGTGATCGAGCTAAATCTAGAGAAAGGCCAGAGAATAACAGAGATATTAGGAAATGCAAGTCCCACTGGAACAAGTGACCGGCTTATATGAGGCTCTGAAAATTAGCCTGCGGCTAGAGCAGGACTCGCTTCTAGTCACGCTTCCCTCCCTTCACTCTCAGAAATGAACGCCAGCCATCACTTCCAAAGATGAGAAGCTGTTCTTTCATGCTAAATGCTAAATCTTGTGACTCGGACCACCTGAGTCTCCAAACATCTCTAGCCCAGCTTGGAGAGAGCTGAATACTGTACATTACAGAGGACTAGCTTGTTACAGCTGGACTCTATTCTCAGAACCAACCAGACCAGCACTCAGGAGAGGACAAGGCTAATCTGTTAATCCTTGAAACATCTGTTTTTCCTATTTCTCTCTTCAAGAATCAGAGGAAAGGCTGAGTGGCTATCTTTTACCTGTTTATTCTGTAGATTGTGCCATCCTCAGGAATTCCTTCACGGTGTACTGAGAACAGGGGTGACTTCTCCTCCTGTGGTAGGTAAGGAGCTGCTTCACTGTGGGAAGCAAAAACATTAGCTTTAACTCAGAAGAATTTCCCCACCATACAATTCCCACTGTACACTTAAGAATTCTTTGTCGAGGGCTGCAGAGATGGCTCAGAGGTTAAGAGCACTGACTGCTCTTCCAAATGTTCAATTCTCAGCAACCACATGCATCCATAATGTGATCTGGTGCCCTCTTCTGGCCAGCAAGCATATATGCAGACAGAATACTGTATACATAATTAAATCTTTAGAAAAAAAAAAGAATTCTTTGTCTGTCCTCTCCCTCTCCTTTGAGGACTTTGATAGTGTTTCTTGACAGGGCCTAGAATTACCAATTAGGTAAGTCTGGGGACATACCTGTAAAGGCTAACCTAGATTAGGTTGGCCTCTGGGTAAGTCTGTGAATGATTTTATTAGGTTAATTGAAATGGGACAATTCACCCTAAATGTTCATGGGCTTGGGTCCTGGACTGGATAAAATAGCTGAACACCCACTGATCTCGCCTTCCCAACTGCAGATAAAGAGCAACCAGCTGCTTCAAGGTTCTGCCAGGACTTTCCCACCATGACTCGCCAGTGCCTTTGACTGTGAGCCAAATGCTTCCTACTTTTGTCAGATTATCCTATCACGGTAATAAAAAAGTAATACAGCTTCAGGGATGTCAGCCCAACTTACAGTTCCGATAACAGCTGCCACTTCCAGGCTACTGGAATCCATTCAGCAAACTCCCAGAATGAATGCTGCTGTTCTCGACTAGAAAGACAGAAGCATCATCAGTGGAAAAGGAGACAGATTCTACACGGCACTATCTAAAACCATTTTCTGTAAGGGTGGGAGTACCTAGCCCTAAAAACGTGGTCAAGTAAAGAAAGATCTTGCCAGCAACAGTTTCTCTCAGTAAAGATGCTACCACCACTCTCCACATTAGCAAGAGCTTCCCTCTTTTCAGATGGTCCTTATATTCCTCCTCCATCCCCTCACCCTCAGTCCCTGTTCCCAAAGCTCACAGGTCCTTGGTGAGGTGCAGGCACTTCCAAACAGGAGCCATGATGTAATTGGGTAAGCCATTGGGAGCCATGCCCCGGCAGTGTGGTTTCTGCTTCTGAGGACCAAATTAAAGAAAGTATAAACATTCTAGGTTGGAGAAAGTCCCAGAAGATAGCTTTCTTTCTCGCTTTTTAACTTTCTTTGGTTTTTACATATCCTCCCAACTGCCCTATCAGCACCTATACAGACTTGTGGTCCAATTAACTCTATCTATTGAATCATTCTCTGGTCTCCTTCCCCAGAGGACCCTCATACACCGAGCTGAAACTCCTGCCCTGAGGGATTCCTCCCACATCCAGCACTCCTTTAAAGACACGCCCTCCTTGGACAGGTCAAGGAGAACACTCTTTAAACACTCTATAAGTCCTGGAATCTCACCCACATTTTAGGGATGACTATCACCTTTAAGCGCAATTATAAAGCTTACAACATTATAAATTTGGCTCTGTCACAACTTTTCTACAAGTTGGAGGTCTACAGAACTATATTAAGGACCAAAGTAAAAAGAAAAACCAGAAGTCAATTAAATTAAGAAATAAGTAAATAAAAGTCAAGTATGGTGGCTCATGCTTCTATCCCTAGCATTTGGGGGAGGAAAGGGACCTGATCTAAAACAAAACAAAACAAAACAGCAGTGGAGAATAACAGACGGAGACATTCAAGGTCTAGCTCTAGCCTCCACACACATGCACATACACTATACACATGTACAAAGTTTCTTCCTTTCCATGCTGGCTGAGATGGTGCACATCTGCAATGCTAGTACTAAGACAACTGCAGTAGGAGGATCAAGTCTGAGACCAGTCTGTACTAAACAGGGTTAAAGCCCAGCTTGCGGTATAAGAACATGACTAAAAAAGTTAATAACATGTCTAAAAAGATGGCTCAGCAGGCTAAGTGCTTGTTGCCAAGTCTGATGTCCTAGATTGGATCCCGAGGACCCACAAAGGAAGAAAGAACTGATTCTCGAGTTGTCTACTGACCTCCATACTCACTCTGTAGCATTCAAGTACCCACACACTATTTAGATGATATTCTTAATACAAGTGTAATATATATGTTCTATACACAGACAATATAGACATATATACTTTTTAATATTTTGGATTTATTTGTTGCATTTTTATTTTTAAATAATAATTTTTTTCGATCTCAAAGAATCACTTATCTTAATTACTGAGGGTCTCAGTACTCCCTTAAATGTGTTCTTAAGGCAAGGAAGGGACTGGGAGACCAGACAATTATACTATGGATTCATGGCCCACAGGCACTTCCCATTCTACCTATCAGAAAGGCAGTTCATCATGTCCCTGACACCTACTTCACATGATGTTCCATAGCTGGAACGCACCAGTTCCTCCCTTTTCTCTCTCTCTCCAAGCCCTGTGAATCCTCTCATCTCCCTAAAGGGATCTCACTTCTGCTTGTTTCATTGGTTGGTTTAGGACTCTGCAATCTTTCATCTGGATAAATGAAAGCTTCAGAATGTCAACTGCAGTTTGTCCTATTTCTTACCCATGCTCTTTTTCAACTTAAAAAGAGTCTGCAGCCTTAGCTGGAAATGTTAAAAACAGTTTTGGAAACCGTCAGGTCTGGTGGCACAGGCTGAGAATTCTAACTGCTCAAGAGGCTGAGGAAGAAGGATTGCAAGTGTAAGACCTGCCCAGGCTACACAGTAAGTTTAGGGCCACCCTAGAAAACTCAATGAAACTGTGTCTCAAAATTTAAAATAGAAAAGTAAGTGGGGTGGTAGTGGCGCAAACCTTTAATCCCAGCACTCGGAGGCAGAGGCAGGCAAATCTGTGAGTTCAAGGCCAGCCTGGTCTACAGAGTGAGATCGAGGACTGGCTCCATAGCTACTGAGAAATCCTGTCTTGAAAATCAAAAAAACTGAAAAAAGAGAACTTGCCTAATGGTGTGGGAGAATTGTCTGTATTCTGTCAATCATATTTTAATAAAACGCTGATTGGCCAGGCAGGCAGTATAGGCAGGAAAGCCAGACAGGAAGTAGGGGTGGAGCAAAGAGACTGGGAGTATTCTGGAAGCAGAAGCTCCCTCTGCCAATTCTGCCCAGACCATCGGAGAGGAAAGATGTAAGCTGCCCCGCTGGAAAAGGCACTGAGCCATGTGCTAACATAGATAATGATAATGGATGCTTGCCGGCAGTGGGGTACTGGGCAGGACAGATACCCCAACAAGCCAGCCCCGTCATGTTACAGCCTAACATACGTGAGGGCTTGGGTTCAATCCCCAGTACCACAAAAAAAGAATAAAAAGTTCCAGACATGGGGGGCTGGAGAGATGGTTCAGTGGTTAAGAGCATTGCCCACTCTTCCAAAGGTCCAGAGTTCAATCCCCAGCAACCACATGGTAGCTCACAACCATCTGTAATGAGGTCTGGTGCCCTCTTCTGGCCTTCAGGCATACACACAGAAAGAATGTTGTATACATAAAAAAAAAAAAAAAAGTTCCAGACATGGCTGGTGATAACAGCTACACAACAGTATAGATATGTGTAAGTTTATGCTATGTATTTCTATTTCAATCAAAACCAGCACGTGTTGGTGCGTACTACTGCAAGCCCTTCCATTCTTCCTACCAACCTTCCTATGACATCATTCACCCAGACCCTGCTTATCTGCTGCAATCACCTTCTGGGGAAGCACCACTGCCCCTGGAAACCTGTACTTGCCCTTCAAGGCCCAGCTCAAGTATCTTTCCTCTGTTAAATTTGAGCAGTCAGTTCCCCTCCCCCATCTCTAAGCTATTCTGTAGCATTCAGTAGAGAAGCAGGATCCTTTTCTAGCAGGAAATACTCTGGAGTGAACCATCTTATTCACCGTGTTCTTCCCCCAATAACCTCCCCATTATATCACATTTTTGAAGTCTTTCCCTCTTTTGGTACTAGTTTTGGCTATGAAAGATCAAAGGCATTCTCTTGGGTACTCAATGCTTCCTAAAATTCTCATTTCCCCATCCTTTTACATCAACTCAAGTTACCCCTGCAGTGGGTCCTCGTGGGGTGCTTCGGGGTGCAACAGGCTCAGGATCAGAGGAGTTCTCACTTGGGGCCTCACTTTCTTCCTCATCTTCACCCTCGACCTGAAGAACAAAGTCTTCATCCCGAGCGCTGCCATCTTCGTCACCCTGAGAGGTTGCTTGCCGGGTCTTCTTCGGCTTGGTGGGGCTGCTCACCTTGGGACTCTTAGGACCTGACAGCGGAGCAGGCAGGGCTGTTGAGAGCTCTTCAGCCAGTTCCTGAAGGTACAGAAGTGCCCTGTGGGACAGGGTGGAATCAGAGCCATGCTCACAAGCACTGAACACAGCCCACATTTCCAGACTTTATTATTATTTTACTAATCTCAGAAATGCTGGGAAGCAGCTGCCAGTTTCCCCTTCCCTCCAAAAGAAGCAGAAACAGAAATCCAGGAAATTAAGTGATTTGGCATAGGCAAGCCAGATACCAAGGAATATGAGTTTAGGTTTTCTAATTCTAGGCCAATACATTCTTTACTCTACCACATAGAACATGAAGGGCAAGGGAAAGAAGGAAAGGCACATAAACACTGAAATATATTGAGTGGTAAAAGCAATGAAGACCTGGGGGAAGTCTGTGAAAAATGTGATGGAGAGCCAGGTGTGGTGGCGCACGCCTGCAATCCCAGCACTCGGGAGGCTGAGGTGGGAGGATCGCAAGTTCGAGGCCAACCTGGGTTAGGCAGCGACACCCTGTCTCAAAACAAAAACAAAACAAACAAAAAATGTGATGGAGTATGAGGTACAGAAAGAAATCACTTAGATACAAAAGTTAGCAACACATACCACAAAAGTGGCTGTAAGAGCTAAAGGGCTGCCCCACCCAGAACCCAGACACCACCCCTACTTACCTGACACCTCACCAGTCTTCCCATCTCTCCAACATCTGCCCCACCCTCCCCTTCCACCACCACCCCTCCACCAGGCTGTGCCCCAGAATCCTTACACTTGGGCAGCCCTTCGGCGGGGTCGTTCCCCAGAAGGGGTCTCAAAGTCCTCAGGGGGCCTCTTTGGATGTGGAGACTCTGGCTGATCTAGGCCTTTGGACAACTTCAGAAGTAGCAGGTCTCCCTTGGACTTTTGACTTCGTTTCTTAGGCATGGGGGTAGACAGAGGGTTGGACTGATCTAAGAGACCAGGAACCAGAGGGGTGGATGGAGGTTTACGCTGCTGAGGCCTTTTAGGGCCTCTTGGTGTCCTACCACCTCTCCTCCCGGAAGGCTTTGAGGCCCTAGGGTTTGAGACCTTTGACATCTCTGAAGAAAGATCTGTAGAGAAGAATATGCATGGTCTATGAGATGGTCCAGAGCTCAAGGTTCTTTGGAGTACAGCATATGGTACCCAAGTTTGTAAGAACCCACGAGCTCAACATGCTCTCTCTTTCATCTTAAGCTAAGCATGGAAAGACAAGAAGAGCAAGGGCCAGGCACATACCTTGCTGTTCCAACCTGGCGAGGCTTTCCTGCTCTGGAGGAAGCCTCTTGTCAGAAGAATCCTCAAACCCAGGCAAAGGAGTAGGCAGTGACATCTCGATGGAAGTCTCCACACTGGATGTTTCTGAGGAAGCCTTGACATCCAGCTGGTTTAGTTCTTGTTCAGGAGAGTCTACCACAATCATGTTCCCCACGGGGTCGGCCTCCCCCAGGGCAACATAGCCGACCCCGCAGGTATCCATCAGCACCCCCCAAAATGGCTGCCCTGCATACAGAGATACAACAATGAGTGGAACACTGAAGTTATTTGTAGAGGTTCAGATTTTTCCCTTTCCCTTCATCCCACAACCAGAACCAAGCATCCTGATCAATCATTCACCCATTCAAATAACTACTGGGGTGGTAAGATGACTTAGTAGGTTAAGATGCTTGCTGCCAAGTCTGATGACTTGAGTTCAATCCCCCGATCCACAAGGCATGCTGTAAGGAGAAAACCAACTTGTACAAGTTGTATTCTGACTTCCGCATTCTCACGTGTGCCCCCCTCAACAAACAAATGCACCCCCAACACATAACTATTATGTTAAGCATTGTTTTAGGAACTAGTAAATGACAAGGCAAACAAGGAGCTGAACATAGTAGCGCACACCTGTAACCCCAGCTCCCTGGAAGCTGGGGCAGGAGAGATGCTTTGATTTTGAGACTAGCATGGGCTACACAAGCCCCTGTTTTAGAAAAGAAAAAAAAAAAACCAACAACAGAAGACAGGCGAGATGCTACCTTCTTGAGATTTACATTCTCACGTAGCAGACAATAAATAAGTAAACAATAATAAGCTACCGTTTATTAACTGCTTACTATATAACAAACATGATACTTTATGAACATTACTTAAGCCCCATATATCTTCATAAGGATATGGAAGTGAATATACAATTAACTTAGTTCTTACTAAAAATAATAAAATAAATCCTATTCAGATTTCCCACAAGGGAAAAGAAGATGAAAATTATGCACCTCTAGGGAAGAATTGTAACTTCCTAAAAAAAATAGACTAATCAACAGCTGCCAAGCAGATGAGACGGTGCAGTGCAAAGTCCTGGCTACTATGGAAACTGAAGCAAAAGGAATCTGGGACCAGCTTGGGATAATACAAAAAGACTCTTAATGATTAAATATACAGAGTTGCCAGATACTATAAAATTGAGACCAAGCTAATATAGGGTACCCAGAGGCAACATCCATTTCTGTGAGTATTTAGTAAAGGGACAGATTTCCTTAAGAATAAGAGTAGTACTGAACTAAATGGGATAGCACATTATGAAATCCTAGCACTTGGGAGATTGGAGGCAGAAGTTCACGGCTAGCCTGGGCTACGTGAGAACATGACAAGAGAGAAAGAGTTAGTTTTCTGGAACCTAGTCATCAATGTACATTTGAATTGGGGAGAGGAGGTGCCTACTGGCCAGAATATAATTAAAAATCACTCTATCACATTAAGAGAACTTCCTCACATCAAAAAATGGACTAAAGTATCCCAAATCTTTATGAACCCAGAAAAATCAGATGGATAACCACAGACCAAGGAGATTGGCAGAAGTAAAACATTGACCACAAACCAAAAAATTGGGCAAATATAACTTTGTATGGATCTAGATTTTGGTCAGGGCAACCTGTTTGCCTTTGACAAGAGGCAGAAATAGTTCAAATCCCAGAAGTGAACCCTCCATAGGTTACGGCATAACTAAAAGATAAAGAATTCATGAGCCTCAGTGGAAAAGTGTGTTCATATAAATTCTAAAAGAAAATACACGCTCAAGCCTCCACCGCCCTCCTTACGAGTAGCTACAGCACTGGCAGCAGTAAATCTTTAACCCATGTGTGAGGATACAATGCAACCTCATATGCTAAAGATACCATGTATGGTAGCATCACTCTTTGAAGACCTGTATCTCATTCAAAACTAGTAATAAGTAAAAAAAGAATCCAATGTAGGATCTATGCACAGACAGGACAGGAAGAAAAAAAAGTTGAAAAGTACCTTTCAAAAGAACTATTCCAGAAAACAGAAGAAAATTTTCAGCAAACACAAAAACTACAGGATCTAGGAAATAAGAAAAAACAATGGCAAGGTGGTTTGAGTAAACGGTCAGCCATAGGGAAAGGAATTAAGTAAAAACTAAGTTCTTGGAAATTATATCCACAGGAAGAGAAACAGCGAATTAAAACTACACTGCTAAAAAGTGAGATGAAGGGCAGGTTTGAGAAAAGTCACAGACTGCAGAGAGGGAAAAAGAGTTACTGAAAAAAAAAAAGACAAACTGAGGAGAGGTGAGGGGTTAACAATTAGTAATTTATGGCTTTCCTGTTGTTTTTGAAACAAGGTTTCACTATGTTGCACAGCCTGGTTTTGAACTGACAAAATTTGCCTGCCTCTGTTGGAATTAAAGGTGTGCTCCACCATCCCTGGATTAAATAATTTAGGATTTAAGAAAGAAGGCAAATGTAAGGACACATAATACTTATAATCCAAGGCCATCTTGGTCTACATTAATATAGTTAAGGCCCTATATTAAACAAAACAAAAAAAATAATAGAAGAGAGGGAGGAGTGGTGGTTGGCACCTGTAATCCCATCAGTAGAAGGTAGCAGAGGCAAGAGGATGGAAGCTTGCAGACCAGCAGGGATACAGTAAGACCCTGTGCCCTCTCAAACTCTCCCCACTTCAAATACTGAAATAAGAAAGACCTCAATTTATAGATCAAGAAGGCGTGAGCGAGGAGTCGGAGGCTGGAGAGATGGCTCAGCAGTTAGGAACATTTGCTGCTCTTGCAGAGGGCCTGGATTTGGTTGACAGGACCCATGTGGTGGTTCACAACCAAAACTCCAGTGGTGCATAGACATACAAGCAGGCAAAGCACCCACACACATAAAATAAATGGCTTACTATGCAAAAGAAAAATATGATCAATAATAAAGAATTAAGACCTGAGTCAGATGGTGGTGGTGCACGCCTTTAATCCCAGCACTTAGGAGGCAGAGACAGGCAGATCTCTGTGAGTTTGAGGCCAGCCTGGTCTACAAGAGCTAGTTCCAGGACAACTAGGGCTATGACACAGAAAAACCCTGTTTCAAAAAAAAAAAAATTTGAGTGACAACGCTAAAAATCTATGCATATCTCATCTCTTATAGAGGAAAAGGCATCAGAGAAGTCATTCATGTAAAGGCAATAGCATAACATTCTTTCCTATGGGCTAGACAAGCAGTTCAGCGATAAAGCACTTGTCTAGCACCTCCCAAAGCCCTGGATTCAATCTCCAGTACAGAAAGGGAAGGAAGAAGATTTTCTGATAGAGAAGCTGTGATGTTCAAAGACTGGCAGTATTTACAACAGTGAAACAGTAAATTGAAATTTAGTAACTATGGTAACTATATTTATGAAACAGATTCTAATTTCAAATTTTAAAAGTTTTAGTTGGCCATGATAATGAATACGTGTAATCTCAGTCCTAAGGAGTTGAAGCTAAAGGATTTGGTGTTCAAGGCCAACCTGAAATAAAAACCTGTCTAAAACAAAGGCTTGCAAAATGGACAACAACAAAAAACAATATTCTGGCTGTAGTAAATAAGACAAAATCTATCTTCCTTGAAAGTTTGAATAGAGCACTTGTTGCTTGCCAGATTTACTCCAGTATTCAAATCTGATGCACAGTAAATACAACAATTTAGCTCATAACTTTTTCACCAGGTGGTTCAACATACAAAAACATCCTTTAGAAGAATCACTTCTTATGAAAGGCAGTGGCAGTGAGTGGTTTATTTCTTCATTTGTTTGTTTTGAGATACTGTCCTGAAACTAGCTCTAATTGACCAGGCTGGCCTTGAACTCAAAGAGATCCTGTCTTTGCCTCCAGAGTGCTGGGATTAAAGGTGTATGCCACCAATGCCCGGCTGAGTGGTGTAATTTCTAATAAGGAGTGTACAATACAAATTTTGGACAGACAGTAAAGGAAGAACTGTTCAGTAAATTCTAATTAAGAGTTTTTACATTCCCAAATTGTCTGCTTTCCTTGCTGCTTCAGGCTGCTAACCTGATTACTTAGGTTTAAAAAAAAATTAGATAACACTATATCATAAACACGGAATCACTTCACATACACTGTTCCCCAAAGTATTTCCATCATACAACTAGTGACATATCAGATAATTTAATTTTACGGGTACACAAATGAACACTTTCATTTAGCTGCATTTTTATTTTAACTTGCACAGAAATCTGCAACTCACGTTATTCAGTTTATACTGCTAGCGACTAAGGAGTGTAAACTTGAACAACTTAAAACTCGTAAGAAAACGGTACTACAGGTGGAACCGGTAAAAGGCAACGCTAGCAAGATTATTTAAATTTATATAACAATATCACCCCCAAGGGCAAACTTATCTGATTATATCCTAAACCACTCCAGCGAAGTGAATTACCTCCTGAGGGGGTGAAGCTGCCATCTCTGTCTTGCCCAGCCGACGGCCAATTTGCCGCGGGATAAAAAGCCCAGACAAGAAAACATAACTGGCCCGTGGCTGCGCCAATAGGGTTGCAGCGCGCGGGGCACAACCCCCGGGGTTAGAGCCACTGGGAAGAAAAAGGCTGGGACACAATAAGAAGGGACTGAGCACAACGAGGGGGGACAGACTGCATCAGTCTAGACGCCACCACCTGCCATTCCCCAATCCTGGCCGTGGGGGCAGCTTTCTCCACCCGCCTGTGCAGCGGGCGAGTCTGATTTCCCTCGGCCTGAGGACAACAGCGGGTTCACCGAGTCCAAGGGAAGCAACGTAAGCAGCGCGGAAGCCTGGAGCCAGCTTTACTGCGCTGCACGCACCGCATGGGGGAAGGGGGGAAGAGGGGAAGACAGGCTGGCAGGGATGGGGGGGATGCTCAGTGACCACAGTGGGGACTGAGGTGAGAGCGCGACGGTTTTCCGGGGACGCGCGGAGGCTGGGAGGCGCGCTGCCTTGCGCGGGGGTCAGAGCGGAATCGGGAACCGGTTCCCAGTGCCTTAGCGCTACGGCGAAAGAAGGGGAGGAGTAATTCTGGGTCCCCCGCACACCCCGTTGCGGTACACTCACCCGCGCCAAAGTCCTTCCGGAAGTCCAAGTTCGAAGATGGCGCCGCCTGTCGGGTCGCGGTTTTATGACGAAACCGGGAGCTGCTCTTCCTTGCCCCGCCCCCGGCACAAGGTAAACGCAAGCTCGGTCGGGAGTGCGTTCCCTCCCGAGTTTTCTACTAAACTCTGTGTTCCATAATGCAGCGCGGCGCAGCGCTGAGCCCTCCGACGCCCGCGAGCTGGAGCCTGGCTTCCGCGGCCCTGGGACACTGCAGGGCCTTCTGGGAATTTCAGCAACCGGAAGGGGAGGTCGGCGCCTGCGCGGCACCGTGGCTTCCTCAGCGGCCTTGCTGAAAAGCCTTGAAGGTGAGGTTGTCGCGCTTTAGTTGTCGCCGAGCGTTCCGAGCTGCCATTACTCAGGCTGTGGTGAACAGAGCCAGACCACACTGCTTCTTAACGGCAACCCCGAGCTTCGACGGACTAGGAGAGGATCTCTTGGTTTTCTGCTGCTAGTGAATGAGCAGAGACAGGAAGAAAATAAGGAGGACTTGGAAAGAGGCCAAGAAAAGGAAGGGGGCGGGGGAGCCTAGTCTGGGTGGGTACGCTGCGCTGCTAAAGAACTCGTCAGCCCACTGCCAGGCCTCCCGTCTCTGGAGGTGGCCTATGATGTAGGAACAAGTGAAACAATTTTTCCTGAACTATTTAAAACCAGATAAATTTTCCAGGTCTGCCCATACCTGTGCAGAGGAGGCGGGTGAAAAAAAAATGAACAGGAAGGGGTGGAGTAAACCAACATTTCCTTTTCCAAATACTCTTGCCCATTAATTCCCTTGGTTAAACATTTAGAAAACGTGTAGAAGTCGGGTATAATGGTGCACACCTATAATCGCAGCACTGGGGAGGTGAAGGCAAAAGGATCAGTAGTGGAGCTGGAGAGATGGATCAGAGGTTAAGAGCTTCCAAAAGTCCTAAGTTCAATTCCCAGCAACCATATGGTGGCTCACAACCATCTGTAATGGGGTCTAGTGTCCTCTTCTGGCCTGCAGGCATACACACAGACAGAATATTATATACATAATAAATAAATAAATATTTTTTTTAAAAAAAGGATCAGCAGTTCAAGGTCATCCTGAACCAAGAAGTTGGAAGCAGCCTTGTCTCAGAAAAAAAAAAAAATGAAAAATAAGGGGAAACATGGGGTATGCTTACTTCCCTCTATAGTCCTTAGGTACTCAAAACTAAAGCAGGAAGATCTCTTGAGTCCAGGACTTAAGGTCCTACTTGGGTCACTCGGACACTTAAAACAAAAGTATGGAGTTAGCCAAAACCTATGGGAGGAAAAGGGGACACCCAGTTCTCTCCTATCCCCTTATGCCCAAAGGCAGCATTTTGAATAGATGTCTTCTCTCTTCCCTCTTTTAGGTACTGGCTCCTCAGTATTGTGTAGGGAGTCACAGATTTACTTCTGTAATGAACAAAATCTCTTAAACTTGTCCTACCTCTGACTGCGTGGTGGTGCGTGGCTATAATACCTGAACAGGGAGGCCAAGCCCAGCTTGTTCTACAGCCAGGGATATGCAGAGAAACCCTGTCTCCAAAGAAAAACCAAAACAACAACAAAAAAAACTCCCTGCCTCTGATTAAGTTCCCTTTCATTTTGCCACAAAATGAATGGCTTTATTTTTGAAAAAAAGATACTTTGTAGTTCAGAGTTCAAGACACAAAGGGCATCAAGACTATTTTCAAGCTTCACTAACCAAGGGGCAGTTAGCCCTTTTCTCATTGTTGATTGTGTTTATGCTCATATTCCATTCTTTCTCAGTCTCATTCATTCCCTTACTCTAAGTGCCCTGGAGCTAGTCACTGACCTGACTCAACCTCCTAAGTGCTCTCAGTACAAGCACAAACCT